CTTCTCAATCTTTATTAATAACAGTTGTGAACATGAAAGGTTCTTCAGAACATCGGCTCCTCTTACCTACTCCTACCTACACTTCCTGTCACACAGCTGAGCCACATTGGGCTTGAGGGAGGAAACAATTGGCTTGAAGATGCTCATCAGTAGGTTTGGATCTGCACTTTGACTTATTCATGGTGGAGAAGAGCTAAACGCATCTTCACTGGGTGACAGGATGTATGTTCCCTCCACTCTGTGACGCTCCTGAATCACGTTTCAAGTGGCTAGCGTTGCTGATTCGTGTTGCTGTCACGAGCCTGAGCTATGGTGGCCCACAAGGGATGAAAAATAGAAAACGTCCAGGGCGACGACTCGTGTAGATGCATGTGAGAAAAATGGGCTGCACTAACGTTAAACTTTGATATCAAGTAAGGGGGCCACAAAATATCATCCGGCGGGCCTCAATTGGCCCACGAGCCATGAGTTTGAGACCCCTGACTTAATGGTTTGTTTAGGTTTTTGTTAATTAGGCTTCACTAAAATAGTTTTCAGTTATTTACATTTGTTGCTCGATCACTGAGTAAAATAAGAGATGAAGTGTTGATAATTTAACACAAGTTATTATCAATAGAAATGCATCCTGGACGTGTCTTCAGCCACATTAATAGTGTAAAGAAATGAGATACGCACCCTCTATTTACACACCTTTCAAAACTTACACTGGACTCTTACCAATAAACTAAATGCTTATACTCTACTGAGAAATCCCTCATCAGTGAGACTGGTTTTGTGGAGATTGTAGACATTAAATCTTACAGTCAATATGAATGTAGGAGCAACTGTTGAGGTCTGTGCTGTAAACCTGCAGGGAGAGCAAGATCGCCTCCTCTGAGAAGATGAGGATCGGCGGCACGGCAGAAATGGCCTGGATGCAGATCTGTGATCCGTCCGACAAGGAGAAGGGTCACTACGCCATCGAGATCTCAGACGGCGTGAAGACCCACACCCGCACATTTGACCTTTCTGGACAAGGTAAAAACAAAAACTAGTTCTACTTCTACATTCATTTTCCTTTTATTTCCTTTTTTACTTTTATTTTATTTTAAATTCTCAGTTTTCTGCTTCTATTGTTGTTTTCTAAGTATTTCTCAACTTTAAGTGACTATAAAACACTTGGTGCTTTTGAAACTGAACACACGTTTTTGCTCTTTCTTTCCTCTGCAGCGTACACCGACGCCTATGAGGAGTACCTGAGACTTAAGTAAGTTATCTGATCATACAGCAGCTTGTGATCACCAATTTGTGCCCAAATTATATTAATCACACCGAACGTCTTCTGTCTTTCAGGGCAGCTGCATTCGCTGAGAAGAGTGAGTATAGCACTTGTTTCACTGACTCTGTTAGTTTGGGATTACAGATGTGTGCTAATGTCAGACTCATTCAGAGTTTTCATTAAAGGGATCTATTTGTACGTTTTAACCTGTTAGACAAGAGATAATGTAGAGAGTGGCCTCAGCAGCTCTTTGACAATTCGGAACATTTTTACATGAGTCTTGTCAGATGAGTTATTTGCTTTCAGGGCAATTTAGAAATGAAAGTTCAAGCAGTTACAGCTGTACATTCCTCCGCTTTCCCCTCCTGAACCATTCGACCTCGTTTACACTGGGATGCAAATGTATAACGGCAAATCAGGGAACATGTTTCGGTCTTAAGAGTCGTGTTTTTCTTTCTCGTCTCTCCTCAGACCGTGGCAGAGTGGTCGGCGGTCTGCCTGATGTGGTCACCATCATGGAGGAGAAGGTGAGGACTTCTCAAGCCTTCACACTACACATAAATCTACACTACAGTGACGTCTCACACATGCATTTTAGGCATTTTGTTGACATTATTACACCTGCCTTGTGGTAAGAAGGTCAGGAGTCAGAGCTGCACCGCCCCGGCAGCATTCCTGTGGAACAAGTGCAGGAACAAAGCGTAAGAGCTTTCGCCTGTCGTAGCGCTTATGATTTAAAGCACTGGTTGGTTGTTTGTGAAAGAAAAAGCGTTTAAAGGAGGTAGAAAGTCTTTTACGTGAGAAGATATGCAGAGATAGTAATGTGTGGTGTTTTCTATAAACTCCAGCAGCGTGTCAGTAAAATGTGTTCTCGTCTTGCTTCAGTGGGATCGAACCACGTGGATGGTTCTGGTTTTATGCAGAAAATGGAAAAATCAATTCACTCAAGTGCAACATGGTTAACCTGCACCACCCATTAAAACCAGCAGTGCCTAAAAATCAGCCTAAAAACTGCCAGTGATGCTCACTTACTCTCATTTTGTCAACACTGAGGACTCCTTTGAATAAACTCTATTCAAACTGTCGCCACACAAACCCAACGCTGGGCTCGTGTTTGAACATGTGTACTGTTAATCCCCTGCAGTGTTGGGGTTAATTTACAAATTAGAGCAATGCTGTAATCACAACAAGTTTTTCTGTAGCACAGCAATGTAATGCGTTTCTGTTCCTGAACTCCGTGGTCACCCTACAGCAGGGGTGTCAATCTCAAAAACACAGTGGGCCAAAATTTAAAACCTGAACGAAGTCGCGGGCCAACATTGAACAAATGAACCTTTTAATATGGACCGAAACAAATTTAGCTTTAACATTGAATATGGAACAAGCAACGCTTATCACCATACATTATATATAAGTTAATAGTGGAGACATGCAAAATCAAATTATAAATAAAAAAACACATCAATGGCACAGTGACAGTTGTAGTGTGAAGTCGCTATGCCTACTGTCACAGAGGAGAGGGAGTTTGTGGGTCCTGTCCTGACTGACATGCCAAAACAACAACAGGGCATTATGGGATTTGTAGTATTAGCGGTGAATGCGCTGTACAGTATAATACCGGGGGCAGCTCTAGTAGTCATTTGGTATTGTCTCGCGGGCCAAATATAATTACAAAGTGGGCCAAATTTGGCCCGCGGGTCAGAGTTTGACACCCCTGCCCTACAGCAATAAATCAGCAGAACAGCCTGCTGCCGGTGCCGCCTCCATTCACTTAGAATCACAACATTGTTCTGCAAAGTGCTCTCTGGGCTGGTTTTCACCCACTACGTTATACGTTCTGAGGTGATGCTTTGCCCAAAAGCTCATATGTTTATAATGTGCAGTCACGCTTTCATAATTTTCCTGTGACAGACTTTGACAAAACTCATTATCTGAACACATTCTGACTTGACTTGATTCTCGACCTCCTCCAGTCCCTGAGCCTGACCTGCACCGTGTGGGGCGAGCCGACCCCCGAGGTCTCCTGGTTCAAGAACGAGCAGGAAGTCGCTTCGACCGAGCACACCAAGGTCACGTTCGACGGTGGCAAGTTCGCCAGCCTCGTCATCAACAAAGTCACTCCGGACGACTCCGGCAAGTACAGCATCAACGTGCGGAACAAGTACGGCGGCGAGTTCGTGGAGATCACCGTCAGCGTCTACAGGCACGGAGAGCAGATCCCCGAGCCCAAACTGGGACAGGCCAAGATGGCCACGCCCGCATCCACGCCTGTGCCGCCCAAGTCCCCAGCTCCCCCCTCCAAGACCCCCACCCCCACCCCTTCTAAGTCTCAGACCCCAGCGCCGTCCATGAAGAGCTCGGCCTCCACCCCTGCTTCAACCCCGGTCCCCAAGTCTCCAACCCCGACCCCAAAATCCCCGACCCCGACCCCACCTCGCAGCGTCAAGTCTCCAACCCCGCCCAGGTTCATGAAGTCTCCGACCCCACCGAGGAAGTAAAAGACGGTGGCGATGTCTGAGGGGGAAGCGTTCGCTGTTAGCAACGCTGATTTCTAGCATGAGTGTGAAACCACGAGCTGTTACTTTAGTTTATTTAGATGTAGACGACGTTAAAGTCCCACCTTCAACCTGCCGCCTCCTCCGGACTCAGTGAACAGGCTGATAGCTCGTCAGCTTTCACGTGTTTCTCAACTGATGACTGCGCTTTTGACACACATGGGGGAAAAGCAAAAAAAACAAAAAAAAACTAAGAAAAATAAAATGCAAATTAGATTCATGTTAATGTTTTAAAAGCTGCACCTTCCACTGCGCGACGTTAGTGGAATGCCAAAGGAGAGTTATGGTTTATTCCAACTGGGGTCTAATTCACAGGGTTTTGACCAGAAGTGCTAAAAATAAGACAGTCACATAGCCTGAAGACAAACCCCAGGTTAGCAGACATTTGGAGGAAAAAAATTAAAGAGAACTACTCAAACTGTCCGTCACAGTTTACATATCAAGTTTCAGCTTTGATCACACAGTGGATGTTGCCCAATAAACATTTTAGTCGCGCTCACTTTGATTTTTTTACCTCCGGTTTCATCCGGATGTCATCTGTGACCACGTTCCCCAACTTTAGCCGTTAAGTTGGTGAGTATATCATTAATAAAACCGTTACAGATGAGCCAAGTGGTAACAAACTGGAATTATCCTTCAAACTGGATGACCTGGGAGTCGCTCGGTTCAGAGCTGGGGTTATGTTGTCAGCGCCTGGGTGGGAAATTGCCTCCAAACAACTACTCCTGTTTAGCTCCTCTATTACCAGCTTTTTTCTCTCCCTGGTGGATTTCATTTATTTGGAGGTCCTAACAAAGCCAGCCTGTGATCCTGTGAATGCAAACAGTCACTTTCTGCCCTGGTCTCGATGCCAGAGAGGTCCATCTCACTGTGACATGCCATGTGTTCCCCCCCCAGTGCTTTGTGATGGCAATAAACTTCACTGATCAACCTCCTCCTGTTGTCTCTGTGAGTAATCTCTTCCTCTGCCTCACCCCGAACACGTCAAGAGGTGACACGCAGCAACAATGAATGAGTTAAAATGTGCACTCTGTGTTGTATCCAGGCTTAGAGGGACTGCTGGTAGGCAAACAGGTGAGCTGAGGTGGGCGGGGCTTGTTACAGTAGCTGTTGTACGGGGCAGGTACAACAGGCTGGTCGTTTGCACAGAGAAACCAACACCTTTAGTGCTGCTCATGCTGGAGAAAGTACAGACACCATAAGGGTTTTTACTGTTTACTGTTTTTAAGCTTCAGTACTCTCAGGATTACCCAAGACAACCAGGATTACCTTTGCTAATTATGAAGTAAGTCTTTTTAATTAACTATTTCTTTCTGTTACTGTTCATGGTTAAATAGCTGATGTTCGTGGTGAATCACACACACTGGTCTTCACAGTTTGTAAAGATGGTTTTCTCTCTTTCCAGTGTAAAAAGCTTAATTAAAAAGGTCATTTCTCCTCCAAGCAGCATGATTAGCAAACGGTCGTTAGCTGCTTGGTATCCACCATGTGATATAAATTTCTCAGGTTAACGTGGAATATTTAGGCTCATCCGTCAATTCATACACGTTCTGCTGATTGTCCGGCTCATGTTTAATGCGTCATCAGTGATTAGAAATGTCTTGGAAGTATAGATAAAAATGTGATGCATAAATTCACACACTTGGTAGATAATTCCAGGCTTTATCACAACTTTGGGAAGCATGCTGGTGAAACAGCTAATTATTTTATTCCATTAAAATAAATAAAAACCTGAGTGAGGCCTGTAACAGTCATGTAACGTGTCACACTGAAGGTAAAGAAGACGCCGGTTACACATATCCATGGAGTCCAACCTGTCCGGCGTGTCTTCCCTCAAAGAAGACGACGCGGCGCTTTACATTCAGCCTCACTACAAAGAAACCTACCGCCTGGCCATCTATGCTCTGCTCTGCGGAGGCAAGGAGGCCTACGAGGACTTCCTCCAGGCCGAGCAGATCAGCCACTTTCTGTCAGAGGAGGAGATCCTGTTCATCTTGGAACATGCAGAGCTGCCCGAAGTGGAGGACGAGTGTGAAGAGAGAAGGGCCGCCGACGAGGTCAGCCCGTCCACCTACTTCCCAACTGAGTCGGACGAGGAGGTGCCGGACCTGGACCTGGGCTGGCCGGAGGTCATGCTGGAAGGCACGGACACCAGCATCAGCCTGCTGTTTCATCCTCCCAGGCAGAACACGCCGACCATTAAAGAGGTGGTCCGGAAGCAGATCCAGGAGGCGCACCAGGTGAGGTCTCCGTATTGTCAGATTAATTAAGAAATGCTCTGAGGGTGAAGTCACAGGGAGACGGCTGGTCTGTCGGGTAGATAAATACGTTTGGATTCTTGTCTTTGTTGCACAGAAATGTAACACAAGCATGAGGACAAAAGCAATTTATCGACGGCGCACAATGAAAGGCGTTGCTTTGCACACAAATATACACATCAGTCCACATACTTCACACAGGAGACTGCAGGGCTTGGCTGGAGCATACGTTAACACACAAACACACCAGAAACTAAACACTGTCAAAAGATTACAAATCACAAAAAAGACCCTTTTCATCACTGCACTGATTTAAACTGACGACTAATTTGGTTTGTAGTGACACCAGAAGTCTCTCCTCTAAGTATCAAAGAGTTGACGCCTGATAGACGGAACTACGTAATATTTGCTTCCTCAAGAGAGCCGAAACCGGTCAGCTTGAATTCATGCACTCGATTTGAGAACCTTTTCGGGCAGAGAAAAACAAACACCTAAAACCATTCATGCAGCACAATCCACGTCTTAGCTGCCGTCAAAGGACGACGAGGGCGTCACGTCCTTTGTACATTTCTGGAGGTTTTCAGTCTTAGAGGCAACCTCCAGGGAGTTCACATTCTAGTTTGAAGAGCAAACGTTTGAAATGCTTTCGTGGCCCCCCTAGTAAAACAGGTAACAGTTCATTTTCTAGCTATGTCCACAGGTGTTTCCAGGAAGCGTCACGTGATCTGGCACTAGCTGTTAGTGAGTCAGTCTTAGGTCCAGTAGAGGAACTGCTCCGTTTGAATAAAACACGCAGAAACAAATCACAAAGTCTGGATGGGCACACGTATCTGTCTTAATCCTCAAGAAGCAGCCTGTGGCGCTCACAAGCAGACACATGTTATTGTGCTCGTGTTAGAACGCAGCCTCCTGCTCGCCGCTTGGTCAGAGCTGCTCTTTTCCGTTTTGCTCACCGCCATTGAATAAAAATTAAAATGTCAGTGACTTGAGATGTTAATGTTTCTGTTGTAGGTTTTTAACTGTTAAACCTGTAAATCTAATGACTAGATTAAACAAGGCGCTTGTCGTTCAGTAGCAACGGATCAAATGTGGCAGCAGCTAAAAGAGGAGAAATGTTGTTCGGCTGTCGCCTTGTGTAGACGCACAGATATGCAGGAAGCCAAACGCTCGTCCAATACGAGTTTTAGAAAGAAAAATTTACCGCGATAAGTTGAGAAATTGTGAAACAGTGATGGCTGGAAAATTCAATGATAGAAAACAGGAATAGGAAATGTGCAGAGCAGGTTTTACTTGTTTTTGTTTTTTCAAAGGCGGAGAGCAGGTAGCACAACAACAAACCGTCCATCTGTAATGCTGAACATACGGACACGAAGGCTATGTCCGTCCACAATATGGACGATAGAACTGCCTGACAACACGCTTAAAGATCAGACACCCAGTGAAGGTCTTGTAGCTGGTGGAGCTCCATTAGATCGCATGTTAAGGAGAGCAGAGAAATGCTTTAACCACATGTTGACATCATTTGTTTGAAGGAAAGGCGTGCATTTATGTAACGCTTTGCCTGACGTCACTGAGTGCTACAACATCAAGAGCAAAGCAGATTTCACAGTCGTGGCAAGTCGTGAATCTCTACAAGCACTTTCATACAAAATAAAAGGATATATCAAGTTCAGAAAATTAATTGGGCTGCAGCTCTTTGTATGTAAAGTGCAGCAGCTCTCAGATGTGCTCGTATCCATTATAAATTCAACAAGCAGCATGTAGAGCTTTACTGAGCAGCAGAAAAACTGTGTTAAAGCTCAACTCAACCCGGCGCTGTAATAATGATTTAGTGAGGAAAATAACCAAACACGTATCCAGCAGCTACTAAAGTCGTAATGCAGACACCGGCAGCTGGCAGAATGCTGACTTGCAAGAGAAACTAAGCACCTGAGGCAAATTATTCATTCATTCATTCATCATTGCTTTTTAAGAGCACAAATGACGGAAGGTCGCGTCGCAGCAGGAGGGATAAAACTTAACATTTAAACGACAGACTTTGGTTTTTCTCTGCACTCAGCTGCACAGGAACACAAAGCCACAGTAGATGTACGATGAGTTCTTTTCTTAAAGGTTAACACGAAGGCCAGGTTTCACTTCATGACATTAAGCAGCCGACATGCCTCTGCTTGAATGTGCTCGATGCTCAGATCTGCACGTTGCGACGGCTACCAGCTCTGTAACTAATAATTTATAAATTACAGCAGGGTGTGTGCGCACGTCTTTATGTGAGCGTGGGGAACGGACGTTCATTCCACAGATATCCAGATATCTGATAATGACTGATGAACACACACAGCGGAGCCTCTGGATACGCAACGCTCAATTACTGCACTGCACATAATTGTTCCAACAGTTGTAACAGATACAGGTCACACTTAAGTCAGAGCGTTACTGGGACATGAACCACGAATCTGTTTCAGATTTGTTTTGTTGTCTTGTAGAGAACTACGCCTCTTGCAATTTACAGAACATATATCTGATAATAAGCCATGTGTCATATAAATACTATACCTTGTAAAAAAAATGTTTAAAAAATGAAATGAAATGAAAAATACTTTATTTATCCCAGAAGGGAAATTCAATAAAATAAAATAAAATATATAATAATAATAAAATAAAATAAAATAAAAAATAAAATAAATAAAATAGGGATAGATTAAGTCTAGAATTATTTTGCCTGTCTTGAAATCTATTAAATCATAATATAAACCAAACTTTAAAAAAAAAAAAAAGAAGCCAGTTCTAAGTATTAAAACCCATTGTTCATTAGTCAAGATAGTGATTTTTTGTTTTTAAAAACTTTAAATACATTTTTTTTCTTTTAAAAACTTCCACGTGTTCCACATTCTACCCTTTAAAAGTCTTGACACTGGCTCCTCTAATATATTTGGGACTAATTTAATATTTTGCTTTCCAATCACGTTTAATGTGTCTCCAGATTATTGCCATAGCGATGGACGTCTTCACTGACATTGACATTTTCAAAGAGATCATCAGTGCGACGCTGAGGGGAGTGGTGGTCTACATCCTTCTGGATGATTCCCACATCAGGAGCTTCCTCACCATGTCACACAGGGTGGGCATTAACATCCAAGACCTCAAGGTGAGACGCACAACGCTGTCACACAACAGCACGTTAACGGGTCGAAGCATCAGCTGGAGATGTTTCTAAACTCTGGGATAGTACCACCAATTAGGGTGACTTTGAGAACATACAGTCGTGATAATGTACTGAGACCACAAACTGGACACAAATACAGCCAGAAAACAAAAAACAATTACACGTTATTTCTTAAAAGTCATAGAAGGAAAGGAACTGGTTTCTCCGACTCGTGTTGTTGTCGTTGGTGGTTAAAAAAAATAGTCACAACTATAAT